GGCTGGAGATACGAATTCGGTTCTTCATCCAGTTAAGGATAGAACCAAATCTGCCGATCGGTGGTGGTGTGCGATTCCATGACCGCCTGGCCATCCGCGCGGTCACGGTTAGCGCGCGCGCGCGCGCACACACACACACACACTATGCCTTATGTAGAGCTGCAACAACAATTCGATTTAGTAGATTAAAATCGACGATAGAAAACGTTGTCAACGTTTTCGATCGTCGATTAGTCGGCTATTACATTGCCTGTTCGCGGCTCCACACACAAGCCGCGCACGCCACGCTCACCGGACGCGCACACCGCGGTTCAGCCTCCAATCCCGGCGCTCCTTACGTATAGCCGGGCCAGTGCGATAACATGACGGGTTGCCGGAGATACGAGAGCGCGACGGGGGACAGAGACTATGGCTGGGGCCGAGCTGGCATCCAGGCTGAACCGTTCAGCAGAAGACATGGAGGGAATGTTCAGACAGTACGTGCCCCAGAGCCTGGGACCCTACACCGTGCACCCCAATCCACCATCATACCCATCCTCTCCATCCCTGCACCCCACCATCATACCCATCCTCTGCACCCCATCCCTGCACCCCACCATCATACCCATCCTCTGCACCCCATCCCACCATCATACCCTTCCTCCCCATCCCTGCACCCCATTCCACCATCATACCCGTCCTCTCCATCCCTGCCCTCCATTCCATCATACCCGTCCTCTGCACCCCATTCTACCATCATACCCGTCCTCTCCATCCCTGCACTCCATTCCACCATCTTACCCAATGTCTGCCCCTCATTCCACCATCATACCCATCCTCTCCATCCCTGCACTCCATTCCATCATCATAACCGTTCACTGCACCCCATTCCATCATACCCGTCCTCTCTATTCCATCATCATACCCGTCCTCTGCACTCTATTCCACCATCATACCCCTCTCTCCATCCCGGCACTCCATTCCACCATCTTAACCGTCCTCTCCATCCTGCACTACATTTCACCATCATACCCATCCTCTCCATCCCTGCACTCCATTCCACCATCATACCCGTCCTCTCCTCTCCTTCCCTGCACTCCATTACACCATCCTCTCCATTCCATCATCATACCCGTCCTCTGCACCCCATTCCACCATCATACCCGTCCTCTCTATTCCTGCATCATACCCGTCCTCTCCAATAACACCAACTATAGAGGAATACATCAGATCTCGGCAATAGTACATTATACAGTGCAATGCAGAAAACCAGCAGCTACAGAGGACTACAAATCCCAGCAATAGTACATTATACTATATGGTACTATTGCTGGGATTTGTAGTTCCCTTTAGCTGCTGGTATTCTGCGTTGCGCCATATAATAATTATACAGCACACTGCAGAATACCAGCAGCTACAGAGGAATTACAAACCCAAGCAATAATAAATTCTACAGCGCCACGCAGAATAACACCAGCTACAGAGGACTACAAATCCCAGCAATAGAACATTATAGTATAATGTACTATTGCTGCGATTTGTTGTATTCCTCTATAGCTGCTGGTATTCAGCATTGCACCGCTGTATAATGTACTATATTACACATCACACTTTTTTATACTTCCACCGCTCCAAGCTTGCTCCTGTGATGGACTACAATCTCAATACAAACTAGTAGTTCATCAATGGAGCCTTTTTATTTTTATCCGATTAACTGATTAATCGAACTTAATAAAATCGGCTAACTAGTCGATTATGAAAATAATAGTTATCTACAGCCCTAGCCTTATGCATGTGTTTATTTGCATACAGATGGTGTGGGCAGCGGGGTTGGTTTTAATTTTTATGTACTTTATTTTTTTTGAACTTGGAAAACTTTTATTTTTAATTCTTTTTTTTTTTTAAACATTTTTAGATCAATCTGATTTTATTAGAACGTTTTTTTAATACATAACAAAAAGAAATGGGTGTCCTTAGTAGGATCCGGGTACAATAACATCAATAAAAACATCATTCTGCAGCTAGGATAAAGTCTGGGTAAATAACAATGCATACATCACATTATGTTGCGTAGTCAGTGAGTGGCATTCAGACCAAGCCATTGTATGTGCCAAAGCTCGTGAGCCTCACAGCCTGAGAGTGTCAGGGACATGATTAGAAAACTAACTAAAAGTGGATTCACCCTAATCTTGTGGACCATGGAGGTAAGGGAGAGGGTACAGAGTACTACATATAGTAGGGACATTGACAGAAAGGGCAAGATAGCCAGGGTAGAACCCCCAAAAGGAAGAGAAGCATAGTAAGAAGAAAAAAAAAGGGAGGAAAAGAAAGACCAAAGAGCAAACCACTTCCCACCCCTTGCCAGGAGTCCCAACAGACCCAACAGGCTGGCAGGTTAGGGAGAGAGGGCTTCCATGAAGCCATCAGAAGCTCGGAAAGTGATCCAGGCGGACCAAGTGTGGACGTATTTACCTCCAGCATTACGCTCCATAGCGCAGACCACACGACAATGAGAGTCTCTAGTCCACTTCCCAATGGAGGGTCCAGACAGTGCAGGGGGGAAAGCTGGGTTGCCAAAAAGAGGTGTCATCGGGCCCACATAAGAAATGCCATGATAAGGACACATAACGATCCCATAGTTTCAAGGTGTGAGTGGTCAAAAAAGGGAGGGAGGAGGGCACCGGTTTGGACGCAGGGGGTACTCAGAGCAAAGCCAGCAGGTCACGAGCAGCAATCGTGTCTCCTCCAAGCAGACCCAGTGTTTATCATTGGCTTGGTGGAACCAGTCCACTATGAGTACCGTTGGGGGGGGGTAGAAAAAAAAAAATATATATAAAAAAAAAATGTCTGGTGCACCCACGCCCCTCCTCCCCTACGTTTGGCAGGGCAAGCGACCTATAGCTGAGCCGGGGGCGGGAGGAACCCCACACAAATTTTGTACAAGCCCGCTGGACCTGTTTCAGATAGAGCGTGGGAAGGGCAATGTGCAATGCCTGGAATAGGTAAAGAAACCTAGGAACTATGTCCATTAATAGAGCACATTAATTCAACCCAGGTCAGGATTTTTTACATTTTTAAAATATAAATTTATTTTACTTTTGTTTTTGTTTTTTACTATTTCACTTAACTTTTTACAGTATTCACTTAACTTTATTGCCATCACACAGAAGCTAACAAGCCCGTGTGATAGCATTTTGAGGTGACAGGTTCTCTTTATCGAACCGGTCACCTCCAATACAGGAGTTATAGCACAGTGCTATGCTTGTTCTCCTGTGACAGGAAGGCTGCAAGTGCGCCGCTCTGCACCCTGCTCTCCAACCTGATCTAATTTGCCATGGTCCTAGGTCCCCCAGGAAAGCGGGGAGGGAGCCAGCAGGCAGTGAGAGAGGCAGCAGAGGGCGGTGACAGATGGTGGGCGGGGAGAGATGCAGCAGCTGGGGACAGAGGCGGAGGACAGTGACACAGGCGGAGGGCGGAGAGGCAGCGGCCTGGAGAGAGAGGCCTTGTTCGGGGAGAGTGGGAGTAAGAATTAGGCTGCTTACAAGTGATCTTGACCATATCCCACTATTCCACACTTTGCCAAACCACGACAATTTATCAGATACCCAATTACTCAGTAGAGTTTTCAGAGTGTCGGCAATCAAGATGACTTAATAATATATACTTGTTATATTATTTTAGGTCGCTGCCCACTGTCATTTCCTCTTTTGTGTTAAGGTCCTTGCAAAGGAGTATTGTAGTGTTCATGTGGCACCTTCTTAAGGCTAGGGTGGCTCACACCACTCTTTATAAACACAAGACGGATGGGGGGGAAATAGGACTACCGAACCTAATGCTTTACCATCATGCGGCTCAGCTTTTACCCCTTATCGTTATCCATCAACAGAATGATAGTCCTCTGTGGGCCTTGTTGGAAATACCAGCAAGTTCACTGGTCCCACTCCCTGCTCTGCCATGGCTAGCCCCTAAGATAGGCCACACACTTTGAGCTCACTTATGAAACATGCTCTGAAGGTCTCGAATTCTCAAATACTCAGCTGGATTCTTGTTACCTTATTTGCCACTTCGACCACTTACATCCCAACTGATGTTTCTACCGGGATACCTTGACCCATACAGTACCCATTCACCACCCACGTTTCGGTGGTGGGTGGTGAATGGGTACTGTAGGGTGTATGATCTTACACTTTTCCACTATATACACACTCGGTAGTCACTTAAGAGAACACTAAAAAAAATCCCCGAAATGTAGCTATATAGATACTTGCAGATTCACCACTGGATCTCGACCTTGCATACTTGTTTCGAATAGATTTGTTTGTACTCACCGAAAAGCTTGAGGCCTAGGCTTCTACTGCTGGGGTAGATGAACCCCCACATCCTTGATGAGGATGTCCAAGACAGCCTCCAAGAGATATCCCTCAATGTGCATGCGCAGTAAACGTTTCTTACATGCCAAATATTTTAAAGGGACCAACCAAGGTAAAACTGAGTTTCTCCTGTGACAAGGAGCAGAGGCAAGTGATACCTGATGCTGAATTGGGTCTTCATAAAATTAGGTCACGCCAGGGGCCGTGCCGTGGTTCTGGACCTGGAAAGTGCTCGATGACTAAGTAACTGTACACGGAGGTCTGGAAAGTACCACAGAGCCCATTGCCTAAAAGGTCACAATCCAGACAGACTCTGCAATCGGTCAGTCCAGTGGGGTCCTGGTACAGCCCACAAGCTGTAGCTGAGCAAATGAAAATTTTGGTAGCTTCATCAAGAAACCAGCTCTAGCAGCTTGCAGATGAAGTCTTGATTGAAGAAAAATACAAATCTTAAAACAAAGAAAACAATGGCTAGTAAAAAACGTAAAACTTTTCTCAATAGAGAAGAGTCGTCTATCTTCCTAGCAATTTAGTGACAGAGGTCAGAGGAGAATAGGCAAACGTGTTCAATTAGACAAAGCTCAGAGCTGCTTAAATAAGTCACTCTATAAAACAGCAGTGTACATGGCAGCTCACAATATTATACATTACCTGCTTTCCTTTCCTTCCTTTATCTTCAGTCTTAATATCCTGAGACTCATTAAAAATTCTCAGACATTCCTCCATTGGGTCAGGGTCGGAGTCCAAATTTTTTTCAAGAATGGAATAGTCTATATCTGAAGAGCCATGAGAAGATGTAGAACTTCTACGGGATGTGCTTATGATCCTTTCTGTACTATTTGCAACTTTTTCACAACCTGAACTACTGTTTATACTCATTTTTATTTCTTCCTCTTCACTGCTTTCATCACCAAATAAATCCACATGGCTCAGCGTTCTCTGCTTTGTTCTAGTTTTCAACATTCTCTGAGCAGGTTCTTTGGATTTTCCAAATGCTTCAGATTTTACCTCTTTGACTTTCTGCTTTCCACTATTATCTTCTATTCCATGTCTTGAATCTTTAAGCAAATTAACTTTTCCCTTTTTTGCTTTACTCTGATTTTTTTCGTTGTTTTTAACAGAAACGTCTGTATTCAATCGGGCATTCTTTTCAGATAGTATGTCATCTTTTTTTGCTTTCTTATCACTTTCCAATTTTCTGTTCTTTACATGTGACATTTCAGACTTTTTTGCCAAATAAGTTTTTTCTTTCTTTTGCCCCTTACTGAAGGCTTTACTCTTGTCTGAGGCTGTACCCGATGGTGGCTGAGAAACAATTTCTTTCTTCTCACTTTTGTAATTTGCATGGCTGACTTTTTTAGCATGGTCTTTGTGCTTGCACTTTTTGAGTTGTTTAACACCATCCATGTTGTAGTGTAACGAAAACGTATTTACTGCCTGAGCAGATTTATCTTCCACTCCAGTCAACAAGGTTTTTTTAGCAGCCAAAGGAGAACCAGAATCATCTTCAGAGTCAGAAAATGTAGCTTCTACTGACAGATCAGATGACTGCCTACGTACCTTTTTGGCATGAGGAGCACAGCCTTTATCCTGTGCATCTCTAGTGCTTTTAGTTACTTTTCGATGTATAGCCTTGTTTAAGAGTCTAGCGGAATAGTTGGACATGGGATCGTACTCCATATCTGTGGAGGGCTTTGAGTTATCAATAACATACTTTTTGGCAATGCGTTTTGAAATTGCGGTTGGAATATACTCCATGCACCTGCTTTTATCCATTTCATTTTCACAATCATCAAGTGTGTATTTGCATGGTTTAACTGAATGAGACAGCGCCGTGGGATTGTAACATAAAGCACTGCTTCCTGAACCAACTGGACTGTATTCTAAATGGGAACTACTGACAGACTTTGCAGATCTTTTTAGACTAGGGATGTACTCCTTCTGTATCTCCAGCAGTTCTTCATACTTTCTCTGCTCTCTCTCCACCTCATTCTTGACCTCTTCAATGGCTTTATTAACTCTATCAAGTTCAAGTGTATCATGGCAAGTCTCAAGAACAGCCCCAGAGAAGTCATCATCCGAACAGACTGGTACAGGTGGAAGTTCAGGGCTATATGGATCATATTCTGGAGAAAGAGTAATATTTTGGGTTATTAATCTTTTTTGCATCAATTATTTGCCGTACCTAGATAACTCCATGCACTAGAACTATCAACATATGCTTTAGCATGACAGACAGATACAACAGTACTCTTTTTTTTATTTTTAGACTTTTAACAATGTTGTTATATATGGAAATTGGTTATATCAGAACTTACCAAATAAAAACAGCTCCTATTCAGTTAATTATGTACTAACAATGGAGGTAAGCAACAAAGACATTTTTGTCAGCAGAGTTGATTCTTCCATTAAAAAAAAAAAACTTACAAGACATGCCAAGAGAGGAGAAGAGGCAACCTGTAGATAAACTACTCCGTAGATACTTTAAAATGTAAAGGATAGAAGACTGCTTCTACAAAACTGTTATTTGCACATACAGTTGTGTGAAAAAGTGTTGGCCCCTTCCTGATTTTTCATTGTTTTGCACGTTTGTCACACTTTAATGTTTCAGATCATCAAACAAATTTAAATATAAAAGTCAAAGATAACACAACATGCAGTTTTTAAAAGGAAGGTTTTTATTATTAAGGGAAAACAAAATCCAAACGCACATGGCCCTGTGTGAAAAAGTGTTTTCAGGAATTTTGGTCCACTCATCTTTGCAGAATTGTTGTAATTCAGCCACATTGGAAAGTTTTCGAGCATGAACCGCCTTTTTAAGGTAATGCCACAGCATCTCAATAGGATTCAGGTCAGGACTTGGACTAGGCCACTCCAAAGTCTTCATTTTGTTTTTCTTCAGCCATTCAGGAGGTGGACTCTCTGGTGTGTTTTGGATCATTGTCCTGATGCAGAACCCAAGTTCGCTTCAGCTTGAGGTCACGGACAGATGGCCGCACATTATCCTTCAGGATTTTTTGGTAGACAGCAGAATTCATGGTTCCATTTATAACAGCAAGTCTTCCAGGTCCTGAAGCAGCAAAACAGCCCCAGACCATCACACTACCACCACCATATCTTACTGTTGGTATGATGTTCTTTTTTTGAAATGCGGTGTTACTCTTATGCCAGATGTAATGGGACACACACCTTCCAAAAAGTTCAACTTTTGTCTCGTCAGTTCACAGGAGTATTTTCCCAAAAGTCTTTGGGATTATCAAGATGTTTTCTGGCATAACGGAGACGAGCTATTATGTTCTTTTTGCTCAGCAGCGGTTTTCGTCATGGAACTCTGCCATGCAGGCCATTTTTGCCCAGTCTCTTTCTTATGGCGGAGTCATGAACACTGACCTGAACTGAGGCAAGTGAGGCCTGCAGTTCTTTGGATGTTGTTGTGGGGCCTTTTGTGACCTCTTGGATGAGTCGTCGCTGCGCTCTTGGGGTAATTTTGGTTGGTCGCCCACTCCTGGGAAGGTTCACTACTGTTCCACGTTTTCGCCATTTGTGGATAATGGCTCTCACTGTGGTTCGCTGGAGTCCCAAAGCTTTAGAAATGGTATTATAACCTTTTCCAGACTGATAGATCTCAATTACTTTCTTTCTCATTTGTTCCTGGATTTCTTTGGATCTCGGCATGATGTGCAGCTTTTGAGGGTCTTTTGGTCTACTTCACTTTGCAGTCAAGTCTTATTTAAGTGATTTCTTGATTGCGAACAGGTGTGGCTAGAGAAATTGAACTCGGGTGTGATAAACCAGAGTTAAGTTATGTTTTAATGCGGGGGCAAAACCTTTTTCACACAGGGCCATGTGGGTTTGGATTTTGTTTTACCTTAATAATACAAACCTTCCTTTAAAAATTGCATGTTGTGTTTACTTGCGTTATCATTGACTAATATTTAAATGTGTTTGTTTTGCACGTTTGTCACACTTTAATGTTTCATATCATCAAACAAATTTAAATATTGTTGGCCCCCTTCCTGATTTTTCATTGTTTTGCACGTTTGTCACACTTTAATGTTTCATATCATCAAACAAATTTAAATATTGTTGGCCCCCTTCCTGATTTTTCATTGTTTTGCACGTTTGTCACACTTTAATGTTTCAGATCATCAATGAAAAATCAGGAAGGGGGCCAACACTTTTTCACACAACTGTATACATGCATTTAAAAAAAAATAAGAGCCATGTAACAGCTTAAAGAATATGTTTCACAGAATAATCAAAAAGTGAAACAGAAAGTTATCAAATATGATGTTTGATCATATAGATCATTTGTATTGTGCTACTTTACCCTGAAAAATAAAGAAGAAATATTTCAGAATACTTGCACTATTTACCTGTGTGTCCATATGTAGACTTTATCTTCCAGAAACTATAATTGACACCAAGCCCTTAATCCATAGCTCACTATGAGTTCAGTTTAAAACACAAGAACAAGCCAACCAAAATATAGAAAAGATGTCATCCAATCTGCCACAAGGGCCAATATAATATTTTAGATCTCTATTACTGGCTTCTGCTATTTTCCATCCAGAACTAGATAACTAATAAATGCTAAGCGGCAGAAACAGATGTGCACACAGGTAAATATTTGAAATCAGGAAGAGAGGACTGCTAGGGCCGCTGTCCATGGGCTTTTCCTAACTTTAGAACAAAAGCAGTGCATGTCAGAAGGAGGTCAAATGCACATGCAGTTAATTCTGAATGATTTCAGAAGCGTTTGCCCTTTAAAGCATGTCAACACTTGCCCTTCCAAAGAATACAAGCTGAAGTTTTGTTCACTTCAATAAATCAATCATGTTATAGCAAAATCAGGTTTTAATAATAAAGAATAGTTTTATTTTACTCAGAGCAACCTTATAAAGCATTATCTACATTTTGGAAATAATAAATCTATACGGTGTGGCAAAAAAAATGTGCATTTATTAAATTTATTGCATCGAAGCCTGCCAAACAGTGCAAATGTGATCAGTGGATGGTGGGTGTAATTCAAAGACCCCTACAGACTGTTCTTCCAGCCCCAGGTCTGTACCAAGGTACCCCATTGAGTCCAACAGTGCTCCACTGAGATATACGAATGCTTCTGCCACTGTGGCAGATGGGATTGTAGTCTCTTCATTCACCGCTCATGTGAACACAACTGTGAATAGATGATACAGCTGTAGAGGCGAAGCCACGAACAGTAGCAGCTAATTCAAAACTAAACATAAGCCTGCAGGACAGGGTGCCAACACAGCAGCTGTACTGCTGTATTTTTTCTAATAAGGGTTTATTTTTTCACAGACATTTAAAACCATCCATCAGATATAACCACTTCATAATTAACTTAATACGCAAAATCTGACCAATATTACAAGGATCACCTCTCTACCATTTATAGCAAAAAGGAAAAAAAATTGTGGGTGAGGAAATCGTAGGACCACCCTCGAGTGGTGGTGGAGACCCTGGAATAATTGAAAGTAAGGCCACTTCTGGTGTCTTCGGTAAATTATGCCCTGTAACTAGATTGCATACAGATGTCTAACACAATATGCCAACAGTCCTGCAGACCTCCGCATTCCCACCACACATGTAACATAGTACCACATTGCCAGCGATTAGCAGGTACAGAGGGGGCTCTTTTAATTTCGCTCATGTTCGAGAGTCTACACTCGCCTTAAAAGATAATAAAAAGGCCTTATCCCAGTCGTCTACCTCTACGCGGTGTCCTAGCTCCCTCTCCCATAAAATAGGCACGGGTAGGAAATGCGTGGGAGATAAGTATATTGTACAATTGCGCAATAATGTGGCCTCCCTTCCTTGCATTTAAACAGAAGTCCTCCATAGGGGTCAAAGACCTTATAAGATAGCCTAAAGATGATAAAGAAGAAATACTTTAGCTGTAAATAGGCCAGCCATTGACCACCCTGGTGCCCTGTCGTAGATATTAAATCTTCCAGGGATTTAAGTCCCTCAGCATTAAGTCCCTGCACTATTGGAGAAGGCTTCTTCTGATTCCAGCACAAGAAGTTAGTGACCTTCCTACCTGGTGGAAAGTCTTTATTTCCTAAAATTGGGGGTCATAGGGTCCACATATTATGCTATCTTTAGATTAGGTATTGATCCCATATCTCCAGGAAGACACAAGGTAATAGCAACATTACTTTAGAAGATGGTCTATTCTTTGGCTGGATCCATGGGAGAGCCACAAGTGAAACTGGAGACATGTCTTGTTCTACAGAAACCCATAGTTTCATATCCAAGTATGAAAACCATTCCGATAGTTTGCTAAGAACTGTTGCTATATAATATAAGTACATGTGAGGAAGACCCACTCCCCCTAAAGATTTTGGACGAGTTAGGACATCTACACTTAGCTTAGGTGTTAAACCCGCCCAAATATAGCATAGCAAGAGAGACCTGAGACTTTTTAAAAAATGCCAGGGATACCTTAATTGGTAAGGGTTGAAAAAGATATATAAAAAAAAAAAAACACCTATGTAGGAAGTCAGTCTTAACCATTTTCTGTACAGGCCATTTTTCATTATTGAGCGCTGCAGTACTTTGACTTCCGTCATCCCACGCTGTACTGAAATTAATTTTATACCATCTATTGGGGACACACAGAGCTTTCTTTTGGTGGGATTTAATCACCACTGGGGGTTTTATTTTTTATTATAGTAAGGAAAAATTACCAAAAATAAAAAAGACTGTTTCCCCTATATTAAAATGATAAAACATTTATTATTACCCAATTTTCTGGTAAAATATAAAAGATGGGGTCACGTTGGGTAAATAGATACCAAACATGTCAGGCCTTAAAATTGCGCACGCCCGCGAAAAATCAAAGAAGACCCAGTCAGTGAGTCTAAAGCCGGATCCATAACAAAATTGAAATCCCCACTATGATAAATCACTCCCTCACTGAAATCTTCTAAAAACGTTAAAAATAAATAAATAGAACACAACACCTTCATCTGACCTGAATTTGAGAGGTACACATTAACCAGCGTAAAAGGCCTATCATATATTTTGTATTTAAGAAAAACATATTGCCCAATTTCATCCAAAAACTGTTGCATATCTGTAACTGGATGAGACGAATGTG